CGTAAGACGCCGCCGCTGTGTGCGTCGTAGTGCGCATGCGCGGTGGGCTGCGTAGCGGAGATCCGGACCCCGGCGGGAGCCAGCATGGCGTCTGAGCGTAAAACTAAGTTGTCCAAGAATTTGCTGCGCATGAAGGTACGGGGCTCGGGGGGAGGCAGGATGGGAGGGCAGGGCCACCGGGGCCTCCTGGCCTGGCCGAGGCCGGGGCAAAGGGCGTACAGGGGCCCCAGAGGGCCTCCAGCTCTCGCGTTCATTCATTCACTTAGCGCCTGCTGTGTGTTAGGCCCTGGGAACTGGATTAGAAATCCGGCTGGTTCTCTCCTAAAGCCAGCTGTCGAATAGGAGAGACAGAGACGTAAAAGTGGACACAGCGTAATAAGAGCAGTGATGCCAGGAGCGCCGGCCAGGAACTTCGGGCTTCTGCGGGAAGCGGTGCTTTAGTAGAGACTGAAGGGTAGGTGGGAGGGTAGGGGCATAGCAACATAAAATGAGGCAAGAGAGCGTTCAGAAGGCTGAGAGGCAAAATCCAAAAATTCTATGCTGAGTGTGAAGAACTAAAGATAATTCAGTATGTCCGGAAGGCAAGTTGCAAGAAATGGGCCTGAAAAAGTAGTCAGGTCACAGCAGGGAATGTTAGACCAGGTTAAGGATATTTATCTTGTGAGCATTGGGAAGCTGTTGAGTTCGGGGAACAGTATCATTAGCTGTGCCTCTTACTCTGTCCTCTGGGTAATATTTAGTGAAAGAAAGGCCCAACGGGGTCCAAAATTGCAGTCAGAAAGACCTCCCAGAAGTTCTGGTGATCTGGGTGAGTGTTGCAGTGGTGGTGCTATGGAATTATAACAGTTGAGGTGAAAGTGAGTTATGTCAAGCAAAATTTACTTTTATATTTCAGATTTAACCAAATAAGATCAAAATGGACAAAAACAAGGGTAGTTAAAATGAATACAGGAATTAAAACGGGAAACAACCAATCCTTAAAACTTAAATAATAATAGCAAACATTTTAGTGCTTGCTATATGCCAGACACTGTTCTAAGTGCCTTGTATATAGGAACTCAGTAATTCCACATAGTCCCTTGAGGTGGGTTAGTATCCCTCTCTAACAGTGGAGGCAACTGAAAAGGAGGAGTAAATAACTTGCCCAAAGTTACTTACTGCTAATAAACAGTGTAGACAAGACTCAAACTCAGAAGTCTGTCCCTAGACCCCATTTGCTATCATTTACTACTGGTTGCTGAACACTTACAGATGTAAACTGTTAAATGTTATGTTTAGAGGGGTGCGCAGTTTTCAGGAAGAGGAAGCAAGGCGTAAATAACGTTCTGAAAGATTGAAGAGTAAATATTGCATGTGCAAAATGTGAATTGATTTGAGCTAGGGTGTAACTAGGGATGAATAGGGTGATTGAAAGTGAAGGGTAAGTCAGCATAATTTATAGTTTCTAAAGCATTTCTTCCATGCATATTAGCAAAATTTGAATCTTTACTGAACAGAGTTTTCTCTTGGTTTATGATTTGCAATCGTGTGGGTTTCAAGGAAGTGGAGTGGATTGGATTGACAAAGCAAGCACTGAAAAGATTTTAGAAGTTGTTTAACTCTTGGAATAAGTCAAATGAAGATGTGCTGGGTAATTAAGGACCAGACCAAAGATCTGACTTGAAAGTTAGGAATGAAGAAATTAACTCTAAAAAATCATTTACCCCTTACCTGAGTGGTTGAGAGAGACTCAACTAGACATTGGAAGCAAAGAAGAGGTTCTCTATTTGGGTTCACAACTTCTGTCATTGTTAAGAAAGAACTCATTGGCAGGATAGCAGAAGACACTATATATACAGATAAAGTGGAATGTCTTATGAGAAGGACTGAAGCAGCTGCCTGAGGTTATTGTATTCAGTGTAGCTGTTCATCAAGAGCTAAATATAGAGCAAGAATGACAGGGTAGAGGATTTAATATAGACTCATTTGTTTTCCAGTATACTTGAAGTCTGACTTGGGTCATCTATTGGGGGCTGGAGGTCGATCCTGATGGAAAGTAGAAAGTGAAGGATGTAGGTGGAAGGTCTGTGAGTATGATGGAAATATAGAGAAGGTACTTATTTGTGATAACTCTTTTGGACTCAAGACAGGAGTTAGTGAACTTTTTCTGTAAAGGAATAGGTAAATACTTGAAATTTGTGGGCCAGTCTGTCTAATCAACTTGGCCCTTGTACCTCAGAACCAAATGAGTATGACTTTGCTCCAGTAAAACTTTATTTACAAAAACAGAAGTTTAGCCTAAGGACTATATTTTGTGATACCTGTTCCAAGCCCTTGTTGTGAGTAAAACTAAATCAGTAGCTTTAGAGTATGTTCTTCTGTACTGTGGAGAAAGAAGAATTGAACTGCTGAATAGTCACAGGGTTTTCTATCCTTTCCATATGTATAGAAAAATGTGTGTGTGTGTATGTATGTATTTTGGTACATATGAATATGGCTATTTCTATACCATAAAGAATATCTACTTAAAAATAGGAGGTAAAAAGGCAGTTGGACAGGATTTGTGAGTTTTACCATGAAGAATATGAGTAATGGGATAAGACATCTATGTTTTAAAGAGAACCAGCCAAGAAAGGAAATCTGGAAAAATTAGACAAGTCTAGAATCAGTTCCATTCAGAAAACCTTTATTGAACTCTTTTCTGTGTACCAGTTGCAGCCTACGTACCAATAATGCAAAATGAACAAGAGATGTGGTCTGCATTCACAATCTTAGTCTTTTGGGCGACATCTATCTATATACAGTGGGGCCTTGACTTACGAGTTTAATTCGTTCCGTGGTGGAGCTCGTAACTCAAATTACTCGTATGTCAAATCAAAAAGTGAACAAGTGAGACACGTGATGCTTGGCTGATGTTGTGGCGTTCACTGTGACGTTCGCTGCGCGCCAACTAGCGGTGGGGTATCTGAAGCTGGCTCGTAACCCGAATTTTAGCTCGCAACTCAAAGCAAAATATCAGCCGAGAGACGGCTCGTATCTCGAAAAACTCATTAGTCGGGACACTCGTAAGTCAAGGCCCCACTGTATATAAAAGTCTAAGCAACCATTTGACTGGTAGCTATGACGCGCATTGACCACCAGGGGGCAGATGCTCAACACACAAGCATGGAAACATGAAACAGACTGATGAATCTCCGAGGGAAGGGAGGGGCAGGGCGGGAAGAGATTAACCAAGATCTTATATGCATACTAGAGGCCCAGTGCATGGATTTGTGCACCAGTGGGGTCCCTCGGCCTGGCCTGTGGGGATCGGGCCAAAACCGGCAGTCCGACATCCCCCAAAGGGTCCTGGATTGCGAGAGGGTGCAGGCCAGGCCGAGGGACCACACCGGACCTCTAATGAACAATAAGCCGGTGTTTATAAAGCTGTATTAGAAGCAAGGAATGTCTATCAAAGGACATGTGCTCTGGACCTTCATGAGTAAGTATTTTGCCAGGCAGAAGATGAAGCATAATGTTGAATAGCAAAGGCAGAAGAACTGGGAAGTACAGGGTTTGCTTTCCGGAAACTGCCGGATCTTTCCTGGAATGAGGGTATAAGCACAAGTAAAAGGATGAGGACAGATGAACGAACAGTGCAAAGCCAGGACATTGATGGTGTTACAATCCACACAGTTTACCCACATTTCATCATTTTACTTGCACTTGATTGTGTGTGTGTGTGTGTGTGTATGTGTGTGAACTTTCCATACAATTTATTGTATGTAGATTTATCTAACTGCCATCACATTCAAAGCTTTTCCATCATCACCTTTGTGTCATCCCTAATCCCTGGCCATCATTAATCTATTATTCATTATTATAATTTTGTTATTTCAAGGATGTTATATAAATGGAATCATAATCTTTAAGATTGGCCTTTTTCACTCAGCATAATTCACTTGAGACCCAGTTAAGTTGTTGAGTGTTATAAATAGTTCCTTCCTTTTTATTGCTAAGTAGAATTCCATGCTGTGGTTGTTCTATGGTTCATTTTAGCCATTCACCTATTGAAGAGTATTTTGATTGTTTACAGTTCTTGGCTAGTACAAATAGAGCTGCTGTGATTATTTATGTGTAAGTTTTTTGAGTAAACTAAGTTTTCATTTCTCTGGGATAAATGTCCAAGAAGACAATTGCTGGGTCATATGGTAAATTCATGTTTAGTTGGATAAGGAACTATGTAGCTATTTTTCACAGAGGAGGTAATTTTCTCATATCCTCATCAGAATTTGCTGTTATCCTTATATTTATTTGTGAATATTTTTCAAGTCATTTCATTTAGTAGTCATTGGTAAAGCCCTTATGCCTAAAAATGTTTATGATTTTGAAAGAGCTGGAGTTGAGGGAAGCACAATATAGGATAAAGGAAAGAAATAGAGCCTGGATAAAGGAAAGAAATAGGGGTAAATGGAAACCAGTGTAATCCTAGACCTAACTGCTGGATGATTTCTAAATTTATTTTTCCTGTTATTAATATTTCATCATTTTGCAGTGATTAACTTATTGGTTTGCCTATCCCCTGGAAATAGCACTATTGTTTGTGCTAGGGAGAGACTAGAACAGGACTGCTGTTTTCTCTACTGGCCTATTTTGAGTTGAGCTTATACAGAGCTATCTTCTATCTATATATATAAAAGCCTAAGCAACTGGTCAACTGGTCACTATGATGCGTATTGACCACCAAGTGGCAGACGCTCAAGGCAGGAGCTGCTCCCTGGTGGTCAGTGCGCTCCCAAAGCAGGAGCGCTGTCAGCTGCCCAAGGGGTGCCATTCGCAGGTCTCACGGCTGGCCACCACAGCCTGGAGACTGCAGTGGAGCAGCAGTGAGCCTACCAAGTGGCAGCGGCGGCAGGCACAGTGGGTCCAGGATGAGCAGGAGCAGCTGGCAGCGTTGGACTGCCAGTTTTGGCTTGATCCCCACAGGCCATACCAAGGGACCCCACCGGTGCATGAATCCGTGCACTGGGCCTCTAGTTGTAAAATAAAGAGCAGCCGTATAATTGATCAGCATTTCAAAGGATAGATACAAGTGAAGAGCAGACTTTATGGAGTCCTCAATCATAAGGTGGGATTTCTGGAGAAATGGGGAAGAGCAAGTGAAAGAATAAAGTTATTTGAGGTTTTTTAAACTCTAAATTGGGAACATTAGTTGCTGGCACTGATTTTGTTTTGATTTGACAGTTCATGCAAAGGGGACTGGACTCACAAACTAAGAAACAACTAGAAGAGGAAGAAAAGAAAATCATTAGTGAAGAGCATTGGTACTTGGATTTACCAGAGCTTAAAGAGAAAGAGTAAGTTTTATTAGAAATTACATTAATGGCACTTTGTGCATTCAGAGTGAAATCTCTATAAATGTAACTCATCATTCCAGTGACACAAAGCCCATGAAATAGCATCAATTCAGTTTCTTGAAATAGCCTTACAAGTAGTTTTCTAAAATTGTTAAACCTATAAGAGTTCTACTTGAATTTTTATACATTTTGACTGACCCTTGGCTATCACTTATAATATTATCCTTTTTTTTTTTTTTTTTTTTTTTTTTTTGCATTGCATGAAGGATTCTAGCCCATATCTCTGGTAGTAACTGGGGACCTTTTATGAGATTCTGTAATGTACTTGCTACATATTAAGTTCCAAAGATTAGGTGTGTACTTCTGGGCTCTCTAGTTTTATTTCATTTTAACAGAATGTTTCATTAGAATGAGCTTCTGAAACACAGGTCAAGACATTTTTGTTTTGTTTCTTTTCTCTTTTTTAAGAAAATACGTTTTTATGTATTTCAGAGAGAGGAAGGGAGAGAGAAAGATAGAAACATCAATGATGAGAGAGAATCATGAGTCACCTGCCTCCTGCACACTCCTTACTGAAGTTTGATGAGCCTGCAACTCTGGTATGAGTCCTGACCAGGAATTGAACTGTGACCTCCTGGTTCATAGATCAATGCTCAACCACTGAACCACACTGTCTAGGCTTTTAAAAAATATTTTGCTATTAATACCAGTTATCTTAGCTAACATTCATTGAGTCTGTAATGTGTGCTAGGAACAGGGCTAAGCACTTACATCTCTTTTTTCTGTTTTGTTTTGTATTTTTGTGGATTTTGGGGTTTTTTTTTAATCCTCACCCGAGGCTATTTTTCCCATTGATTTTTAGAAAGAGAGGGAGGGAGGGAGGGTGAGAGAGAAAAAGATAAAAACCCCGATGTGAGAGAGACCCTGGGCTGGTTATTGAACCTGCAACCAAAGTACTTGCCCTTGATAGGGAATCAAGCCTGAGTCCCTTCAGTATTCACTCAGTGGTCCTGTAACCATTGAGCCATACACATCTTTTAATTATTTAATCCTCATAGCAAACTTGAGAGCTGGCTATTATATTTTATCCATTTTATAGTTGAGGAAACTGAAGCTTAAGAGAAAATAACTTGCTCAGTGTCACCCAGCTAGTCATTGCTAAAGCTGAGATAACACACTAGAACTAGACCATTGGTCTTCCACTGTTAGCTTGTTTGGTGATTGATAAATAATTTTGAATGAAGGAGTGATGGATCCACATTATCCATTAATTTATGTAAATTTTTCTGGAAGCTACTTATCATTTCTTCTTGATGCTTGTCTTACCTTAATAAGCTCTGTACTAAGATGGTTTTACTTAAACTTTGTGAAAGAACTAAAGATACTGCTTATTTTCAGGCATGTTTATGTTTTTCCTTTTTGTACCTTATAATTCTTTGTTTTTAACATGTTACATTCCCTTGCTTATTTGGCTGATTGTCTCTGGATCTTTTAAAAGGTTAGATACTCCTCTCCAAAGATAAAAAGTATGTCCCACCGGGAGGGATTGGAGAAAGCTACTTTGTTTTCTCTGCTTACTTTTCTGTGTACTTGCTTCTTTTTCTATTATTGCTTATCAGAGGAAGGAAGATGTTAAGGAGGTAGGGGAAAGTAATGCCAGTGACGGTATGGATTTAGAAGCAGGGAGTGTAGAAAAGGACCTTTACTGACTGGTAAGGAGCTATAATTTCATTTTATGCCTTGACTAAACTTGCACAAAGTAACCCAGATAACCCAGGAGGATTTCCATCTTGTTTTCAGTATCCCCTGCCCCAACACAGTATATTATTCCCAGAAAAATGACCTTTAGACTTCTTTCCTAGGAGGTAAATGTCTCAGTTCATTTGAGCTACTATAACAAAATACTACAGACTGGGTAGCTTATACACAACCGAAATTTATTTCTTACAGTTTTAGAGGCTAGAGATCCAAGATCAGGAGAATGTGTGCCTGAATTTAGATTCCCTCAGGGAGAGGCGGTCCTGCAGGAAGTGAGGTGCTAACTGGACTGTAGGGGAGGAACTTAAAGAACAGTGGGTTCTCAATGTTTTGGACTCAAGGATTATTTACATTTTTAAAAAATAATTTAGAACCCATAAAAAGCTTCTTAAAGATAGGTCAAGACAACTAGAAGAGAAAGAAAAGAAAATCATTAGTGAAGAGCACTGATACTCTTCATGTTGATATTTATATAAGAAATTAAAACATTTTTAAAATATTTAAGAAACAAATGCATTACATGTTAACATAAATAACACATTTTTGCATGCAAAAGAACTTTTCCAAGACAAAAAAAATATTAGGGAGAAAAATGGCATTGTTTTACGTTTTTGCAAATCTCTTTAATGTCCAGCATTATAGAAGACAGCTGGATTCTTCTAACTCCTGCATTCAGCTTCTTATAGGATGTTGTTTTGGTTGAAGTACATAAAGAAAGTCCACCCCCACACTTGATGATGTAGTTGAGGATAGAGGAGTGTTGTAATACCTTTTTCAGATAATCCTTTGATACTACTCCAAAACTCAATAAGTAGTAGTTTCTTAGATGTTAACTGCAGTGAGGAACCTGAAAACATCTTTATCATAATCATTGGTCTGTCTTACAATTTTAAGATCTTTTGTCAATGCATAATTTCATAACATCATGCATGTCTCATTTGGAATATATTAGCTTAATGAGTTATATAGATTTTCCAAATAACTCATTTCATTGTACAGTATCAAAAATTACATCATTAATATTACTGTGGGTTTCATCGGAAAAGGCTTTAAGTATTGGGAACCTGTCAAGCCCAAAATGACATATACAAGCTATTCAAAATTCTAATTTTTGCTTAAAAGCTTGAATTTTATTATTGGTAATAAGTATTATCAGTTGTTTCCCTTGAAGTGACAGATTTACTTTATTTTATGTTCAAGAAAATATCTGCTAAGTACCCAAGTTTGAATAACTATAGTTATGGTGTATCAAGAAAAAAGTAACTAGTTAACTCACAACTCAATCACACAAGTGTATTTTCTCAAGACAGTCATACTTCACTAATTAGAATTATCTTATAAATGCTTCCCATTTTGTGTAGAGAATATTTGTAAAAAGTGTAATCAAGGACTGAGATCAATAAAAAGTAATAAATTTTTAGTGCTTCATCTAGGACAGTGGTCGGCAAACTCATTAGTCAACAGAGCCAAATATCAACAGTACAACGATTGAAATTTCTTTTGAGAGCCAAATTTTTTATACAAACTATATAGGTAGGTACATTCAACTTTAAATTCAACTTTAAATTCACGGTTTTCGTCTTCCATTTTTCTTCTTCTTTGTAGCCATCTCAAACAGGGCACCTAAAAAAATGTTTCATTTTATAATAATAAAGCCACCAACACAAAAGAATTACAATTCTTAAATTGATAACAAAAATACCTGTAGGATTTGCAGCTGGTTGGAAAAAAACAGGTAACTTTATGCTT